TGAGCTTAGTGAAGGAGGTTGGGTGTCAGGAAGCATAGACACAGGTACGTGTGGGCTGGAAAGCGTATGATTCTTGTATGGAGCATCCTCACATTTTCTCCCTCTTCCATTCCAGACTCTTTTCTTTATGTTTTATTTTCAGTCCCTCTCCTGGCCTTTGCATTATTTACTAATCTTAAATTTCTTGATATTACCTTATTAGTACACTAATAATGTTTAAATAGACTTACTCTCGTAGCTGTTTCCTCTCTTGGTTGTCTTAGCTCCATTCCCTTCAGTATCAAAATTCATGCATTCACTGCTTTGCGGAATCTCATTCCTGAAGGGAGAATTTCAGACAGCTGGTAAATTTAGTCATTCAAAGCTTTAAAGTAAATTCATATTACAAAAGCAACCACTTTATTTGCATTGTTTCCCAATGGAACAGTTCAGTGATAACACTCATTACCTATTTTGACAACCAAGAAGTTGACATTAGCCAGAGATGGTTGCTAACACAATAATTATCTTTCCTAACTCATTTCTTTAAAATCATTGTACTTCCAGACCATTGTTTCTCTTTCCTGAATCCCCTAGGTCCTATAAAACACATGTCATCAGATTACACCATCTACTGTCCCTCAGTTGTCTATATCATCCATACCCGAAAGATACTCCCCTAGTATTTTAATACTTATAGAGTTTAATAGATGGCTCAATACCTCTTTCACCACTCTTGCCATAATTCTTAGTGATTCCAATACCCATTGAACAATCCTTCCAATACTCAGACCTCTCAATTTTTTGAACGCCTGACCTCCAATGATTTTTTTTCCTCCATCTGACCTCGGCTGTCAGTTCCCATGGTTACATCACAGACCTGGCCATCATCAATAACTGGCACTTCTCCACGGTTTCCATTTCAAGCATCCCATTCTCTAATCACCAACTCCTATATTTCCTGCTTACTTTCTGTAAGATACTCTACAACAATTCTTTAACTCCCTCGGGTCTCCATTCTATTCCATTCTATCCTGCCAACCTTTCATTCCATTGCAGCACCTTTAGCCTCCGTTGCAGTGAGGTATTACAAACCACAGTTCCTTGCTTACCCAGCTTAGTTTCCACTGTACAATATTACAAATCACATTCTTGTAAACACTCTTAACTCCCTTGCTGCAGTCTCCATCACACTTGTCTAGTAATACCCCAATCCAAGTTAGATATTACTCTCTGTCTACTCTGTGCCTGCACACAGGTGACTGAACACGACTGGCCCTGTTTACCATCACTCCCAATGACCCACTTGAGGGGTTTGTGCTGCCTGCCTCTGGAACTGTGGGCTTCAGCAAACTTCTTTACATGTTGCACCCTAGGTGCCTCTGTTGCCCTGGTGTACACCATGGTGTACCATCCAGACCTCCCCACCAGAGTTGTCCTGAATCCGGGCCAGGAGCACTAACATTCCTTTATCCACCAATCATTGGATGTAGGTGGCCCAGGGAGCAGGTATGACTTTGAGCCAGGCAGCTCTCATGAGCCAAGGGCAGGTCTGTGAGAGACTGAGCGGGAGCTGTCAACCACCAACACTCCCTGCTGCTGGGGGCATAAGTGCACAGGCTGTTCTAAGCAAGCTGCTCCCTCCTCAGGGCCTTTGTACTTCCTTTTCCTTCTGTTTGTATGTTCTTTTCCTAGGTTTCCAAAGGATGCACTTCTTCACTTCCCTTAGGCCTTTGCTCAAGCATCTGGTTGCCAGAGAGGTCTTCCCTAACAGCTGTGTTCTCTCCTATCACTCCACTTTTTCTTCATAACATTTAGCAACACTCAACATATTTTATTACTTTAGCTGCTTAGTTTGGCCTTCCTTTGCTAGAGTACATGCTCCAAGAGGACAGGGTTCCGGTTTGTTTGTATTTCCCATGTCCTGAATAGTTTCTTGTCTTCATTAGGTCCTCAATATATCAATATATATTTGTTCGGTGCAAAAATTGAAATGCCTTAAATTCATAGTAGTCAGCTCATAAGACAGAGTAGTTTAGTGGAAGGAGTTTAGGGTTTTGGAGTTAGACTGATATTTGAAAACACCTTTATTTAGATATAAGTAGCATGTAATAAACTGCATATATTTAAGACATATTTGGACATATGTATACACTCAAAGTCACCACCACAGTTCAGATAATGAGCATGTTCTTCATCCCCAAGAGTTTCCTCTTACACTTTTGTAATCCCTCCTTCCTGCCATTCTCCATCCCCAGGCAGTCACTGATTTGCTTTCTGTTTTTAAGAGTTGTTTGCATTTTCTAGAAATTTATATAATTGGATCAAACCATCTGTATTCTTTTTTGCGTCTGACTTTTTTTAGATTCATCCATGTTTTTGTGTGTTCCTTTTTTTGCTGGGAAATTTTTCATTTGTTCGTTACTTACTTTGGCTGACAGACATTTGGTTTGCTTATAGTTTGGGGATTATTAAAAATAATGCTACTGTGAATATTCACGTATGTTTTTGTATGGACATATGCTCTCATTTTTTTTTTTTTGAGTCAATACCTAGGAGTGAAATGGTGAGGTACGTGTTTAACTTTTTAAGAAACAGCCAAATTATTTTCCAAAATGATTGTACCATTTTTCATTCTTATCAGGTATGAGATTTCTGGTTGTTCCACATCCTTGCCAGCACTTAGTATACACAGCCTTTCTAATTTTATTATTTGTTATTTATTTGTTATTTGAGACAAGGTCCATTCTATTGCCCAGGCTGGGGTACGGTGGTGCAATCATGGCTCACTGCAGCTTTGACCTCCTGAGTTCAAGTTATCCTTCCGCCTCAGCCTCCCAAGTAGCTGACACTACAGGCACATGTCACCATATCCAGCTAATTTAAAAAAAATTTTTGTACAGACAGGGTCCCACGATGTTGCCCAGGCTGTTCTCTAAACTCCTGACCTCAAGTGATCCTCTTGTTTCGGTCTCTCAAAGTGCTGGGATTACAGGCATAGTGACTATGTCCAGCTTCTTATTTTAGACATCCAATAAGTATGTAGTGGTATCTCACTGTGATTTTAATTTGCATTCTGTGGGCCAGGCGCAATGGCTCATGCTCATAATCCCAGCACTCTGGGAGGCCAAGGTGGGCAGATGGCTTGAGCCCAGGAGTTTGAGACCAGCCTGGGCAATATAGTGAAACTCCATCTCTACAAAGAATACAAAAATTAGCCAGGTGTGGTGGTGCACACCTGTGGTCCCAGCTACTGAGGAGGCTGAAGTGGGAGGATCATTAGAATCTGGGAGGTCAAGGCTGCAGTGAGCTGTGATTGTGCCACTACATTCCAGGTTCGGTGACAGAATGAGACCTTGTCTCCAAAAAAAAAAAAAAAAAAAAAAAAAGCCTATTTTGCATTCTGCTAATGACTAGTGATGTTGAGGATTTTTTCCATGCCTTTATTTTCCATGAGTATGTCTTCTTTTGTGAAGTGTTTGTTCATATCTTTTGCCCATTTTATAATGAGTTGTTTTCTTATTACTGGATTTTGAGAATACACACACACACACACACACACACACACACACAGAATACAAGTCCTTTATAAGGTACATATTTTCCCCCAGTCTGTGGCTTAATTTTTCATTCCCTTAATAGTACAGAAATTCTTCATTTTAATGAAGTTCAATTTATCAAATTTTAAAAGTGGATTCTGCTTTTAGTGTTGTATGTAAGAAATCTTTGGCCGGGGCGCGGTGGCTCAAGCCTGTATTCCCAGCACTTTGGGAGGCCGAGATGGGTGGATCACGAGGTCAGGAGATCGAGACCATCCTGGCTAACACGGTGAAACCCCATCTCTACTAAAAATACAAAAAAAAAAAATTAGCCGGGCGTGGTGGCAGGCGCCTGTAGTCCCAGCTACTCGGGAGGCTGAGGCAGGAGAATGGCGTGAATCCAGGAGGCGGAGCTTGCAGTGAGCCGAGATAGTGCCACTGCACTCCAGCCTGGGCGACAGAGCGAGACTCCGTCTCAAAAAAAAAAAAAAAAAAAGAAATCTTTGCCTAACCCAACATCACAAAGATTTTCTTTTATGTTTTTTTTTTCTGGACATTTTATAGTTTCAAGTGTTACATTTAGATCTATGATCCATTTTGAGTTCATGTTTTAATATGGTGTGAGGTACGAATCAAAGTTTATGTTTTCCGCATGTGGTTATCCAGCTGTTCCAGCACCATCTGTTGAAAAGTCTATTCTTCCTCCTTTGGATTGCCTTGTATCTTTGTTGAAAATCAATTATCTATATATGCATGGGTTTATTTTTGGACTCTCTGTCCCATTGATCTATTTATCTATCTTCACGCCAATACCACCCAGTCTCTATTTTATTTTAGCTTTATAGTAAATCTTAAAGTCAGGGAGGGTAAATGCAGTTCTTTTCCCTTTTTTGTAATTCTATCTTGGTTGAAAGTAGAGATCAGACTGATGCATTTTAACTCAGTTCGATCATGTAATTCTTGTGTGATTTCAGACAAGCCAATTAATTATGTTTATTTCATTTATTTATCTGTTCACTGTTAAAATTTTACATTGTAATTCTTAGATTAAATGCTAATTATTATTAAAAGCGTGAACTAGGAAGACAGCTCTGGAAATAAAAGAAACTAGCCAGGCACAGTGATGCACAGCTGTAGTCTTAGCTACTCAGGAGGCAGAGGTGGAAGGATTGCTTGAGCCCAGGAGTTGGAGGCTGCTTGGCAAAATAGCAAGACCCTGTCTCTGAAAAATGAAAGGAAAAAGAAAGGTACTGGAACTGCAGGGTGGTATGGGAGATGGGTAAATTTAACGTGCTCACCAGGGACCTCTCACTTTCTTTCTCAGTACAGACACATGCTCCTGCCCTTTCGTATTCCATGTTGAAGTCTGGCAGCAAATTCTTCCTGACAGTAGGACTAATCACTTACTTTGAAGTAAAAGAACAACAACAAATAAAGGTGAAAAAGAAAAATAAAACTGGTCAGCATCCCCGAGTTTAAAATAATTACTCTACCACATCAACAATTTTCTGTGCAGCTTTCTAACGTTTTTATTTAGACAGAAATTGTTTTAAAAAGAAGGTTACTTTGAAACCAAGGTTACAGTAGCTTTTTGGCCTGCTTGGCATGGCTTTCTCCAACTCTCTTCTTTTCAGTTTTTGCAATACCTGTCCCTGCCAGTCTCCAAGTGTCCCTAGTCAGCTCCACACTGAAGGGGAGGAGCTACTTCCTAGGGTCTCTTCCCAGCATCACAGCCCCACATCCCAGCGACCAATGGTGTTGTACTCCTGGGGGCCAAAGAGGACCCTGATTACTTTGTTTTGTGCCATGTGAGTACTATGTCCAACAGGATGGCTGGTGGACGGGAGACATGTTGGACTTTGATTGGATTCCTTCTTATCTGTCTGAAAATGGTGAGTTCATCATTCCAACTGCCCGCAACTATTTAGGGGAAAAAGAAAGACATTATTTTTCTCTCCTTTTTTTTTTTTTTTTTTTTGAGGAGTTGGGGAATGGGGAGATAGAAATCGAAATACTTTTCAAAAGTTCGTACCCAGGTTGTATATGTTTGCGTGTTTGAAATTTAATGCCATATACTAGAGAAAGAAAACAAGATTATCATTATATTTTAAGAACAAAGATTTCTGAAAAATCTGTCAGCAGCTACTGACTTAGTTCAATAGGCAGATTCAAAGGGGAAAGAAATGAAATAGTAACGGGATCTGCCTCCAGCCTCTAAATTCCATTTAGAGTTGCTTTGCGGTAGATTGGGGTGCTGGGAAACGATTTGTGTGGAGAAATACTTCTATGGATCGAAAGACTGCTCACGTTAGGTATAAAAATGTTGTGATTAATTTATTACTGCTTTTACTCCTGTTTTACATTTGTTCAAGTGGTGTTTTTCTGTATGGTTCTAATTTTCTAAACTTTCCTTTTCAGGTTGCTTCAGCAAAATCAGGTACAATTTTCTGACATGAAAGTTTTTCCTCTTCGTATTTGATTTTAATTTCCATTGTTAATTTATGGGCTATCCTGAAATCTAAAGGCTCTATAAGAAAAAAAAATTCAATATTTTCTGAGCACTCACACTGGGTGCTAAGCACTATATTGGGTCCTGGGGAGTTGATAATTGGTAAGACAAATAAATGGATTGAACTTGAAAGACAAATCTTTAGAAAGTGTTCTTGCTGAGTACTGTAATATATACAGTCATGTAGGCATGCATTTTCTCATATACAGTTAGCCATGTGTGAAATATTATAATGATCATCATTCTAGCTAAGATATTGTACAGAGTCTAATTTATATAAATGTTCTTGTTTGTGTTCCGGGGAATTAGAGGAAAAATGAGAAATGTTATCTTTGATTAAATTGGCAATATTCCCTGCTTTAAAAAGGATTTTATACTTCTAATATTGCATATTTAAATTATAGACAACAGTCACTCAGGGCTGAAAGGGGGCCCTCTTTTAAAAATATTTGATCTCCATCTTTCTTAAGTAGATAACTGAAGGCAAAAATAATTTAGAGGCCCCTCCTAGCTCATTTGTGCTAGAAATCTAAATACCTGGAATGGAAATTTATTTTTAGGAGGATTTAGCTTATCTCTGGGAACCACATAATATCAACCATATCACCAATAAATTCTCATAGTGATTTGACATAAATTAGAAAAATTTGCATTTATTATTTTGTCTACACCACAGAAAAAGAAGTGAAATCAAGACAGTTAAAAAATTTGATATAGATGTATGTCTGAGCCATGAAATTTCATAAAATTCATACATATACAGTAAGTTTTTAAAAATTTCTATTTCCTGGCCTGGTACCAAGGCTCACGCCTATAATCTCAGCACTTTGGGAAGCCAAGATGGGAGAATTGATTGCTTGAGCCCAGGATTTCAAGACCAGCCTGAGCAACATAGCAACACCCCATCTCTTTAAAAGATTATTATTTCTTGCTTTATTCTTATCTAATTGTCTTATTCTTGAGAGATCTTTAGGATTAGCCAGGAAACTATAGGAAGGACTGTTTGGCTATACACAAAGTGACTTTTTAAATAAGTGGCCTTTGGGTGGACAAAATCTAACTCTGCTGTTTCTTACAAGGTCCCAGCACACCCAGGACACACCAAGCCCTCAGAACAGGACCCTTTTTGGTCCTCACAGCATCTGCCCTATTCTAAAGAAATGGTGGGTCAGGCTAAGCTAGTGATGCTGCTGCTAATTGACTCAGTTGCTAATTGAGTCCTGGCTTTTCAATAGATGGAATGTGTATTAGCTACACTGTATAGAAGGTTTCATTTTGTGTGTGTGTATTTTGATTCTCTTTGGGCTCTGGTAGTGCTGTGTATCTGTGTCTGGTCACTGGGGCCTCGTGGGCTAATTTAGATCTCTTTGAGCTGGTGGAATGCACAGATGCTGAGAACCAAAGGGTTTCATTTTTGACTGATCAGAGTGGTTGGTTGCACAACTAGGGAATAAAGTTTTCTCTTTCATCAGTCCAGTCAGTGGGCTAACCATAGAATTAAGAAAGAGTAAGGAACTGCTGCTACTTTATGGACTTTACACTCAAGTTTCTCATCTATTAAAGGGCAACATACTACATAGGGGGTTGATCTTCTTTCATTGTTGATGCTGGTCAGAGCCTGCCCTAAAACCAGGTGTAAAACAGACAATCTGTCTCTCCAGCCTGTGTTTGCCCCACACTCCTCAGAATCCCATTTTCACAGGACCTCTCCACAGCGGTGCCCTATGGTCTGGCTTTTCCAAACCCATCAAAATTTACTTGTCTTGGCTCATACACAAACGTGCACACACACACTTTCCAAGTGCCCTAACACACACTATTTCACTTAATCTTTACAACAATCCTAAAATGCAGGTATTTTAAATTTCAAAGTAAATCCTAATATGTAGGTATTAATAATCCGTATTTGTCAAGGAAGGTAACAAGTCTAGAAGAGGTACAATGACTTGCATGCCTTCACACACAAAAGTAAATAGCAGGGCCAGGGCTCAAACCCGGAGCTCCTGAATCCAAACCCTTTGCTGTTTTCCCACCACACAACCCCGAGTTTCATTCTGTGATACTGGCTTCCTGCTTTATGACTTCCAAGCAAACGTGTCTCTCCTAGATCAATTCCATGAGATCAGTTTTGTGGAGCCCTCGGGCCCTGTGACAGGCCTGTGGGGAGAGGGTCTGTGTCATGCTAGCCTTTTAGATGCCTTTCAAACCGCTCTGTGAATGCATGATCTGGCCTCCTGGGTCTGTGGCTAGTTTGGTTGTCATTTTCCCAGGAAGTTAGTTCATTCCAATGAACAGAACCGGTAACATAGGAGATAAGAGTAACTGTGAGGACAGAGGAAACAGAAGGAGTTGAGAGATACCAGGAAATTAGAGGAAAGAAGGCATATAGCACAGGATCATTAGCTGGGGGAGCAGAAGAGGGGTGTGTGTGTGTGTGTGTGTGTGTGTGTGTGTGTGTTGGAAGAGGGAGCCCCTGCTGGGACTTTCCGTGTTGCAAGACAGAGAGGGAACGTAGCCCTTTCCTATGGAATTGGCTTCCACTGGCAAGTGGCTATGACAAGCAGGCCTGAGACTTTCCCCCAGTGTATATAACTGTCATAATTTTCTTTCAATGGCAAAAGAGACTATCCTGGGTGATGTTCAAGGAATGTCTGGCCAGGGCACAGAGGAGACTTTGTTCATTTTTGCAGCATGGTTATTTCTGAGATGCTGCCAAAGCTAACTCTCTGGGCTATTGGTACAGAAAGAGAAAGTTGTCTGCATCGTGCACATAGGGACTTGGCTCTGGGAGAAGGGGAGCTGATACTGGAGAGTCACCTGTCTTTATTCCTTCTCCCTCTTTGCCCTATAGTTCTGCTTGTTTGTCTTCCCTTTAGTTTTAGTTTTGTCAAATTCCCTATATTTGACATATAGTGATTTTACCCAGCAAGTGGAGTACATTAAACCTGAAAGGCCAAGTGCCAGTTGCAAATAAAGCCCAGCTATTTTTGTTTGACCTTTTCTTCCAGTTGGATCTCCTATATCCAAGACATTTTTGCGTCTATGGAATTTTGTAAAGTAGTCAATGTGAGGACTGTGCTATAGCTCCTACTCCATACTCCTGAGCGTAGGAATGCCTTGTGTAAACCCATGACATAAGCATTCATATCTCCCTGGCAAACCGTAGCCTGGCCCATCACATTCTTATGCTGAGGCAGATATTGTGATAGAGAAAGGGAGAATAAAGTTTACTTTTATTTTGTATAGAAGAATCTGACAGTTGTTCCACTCTGATAATATGAAAGAAAGTGCTATGGAGTAAATATAACAAAGAACTCGATCCTCCCTCCTTCCTCCATTGGATTAAATGTTATCTGGAAAACGTGCAAAGTGCATGAGAGAGTGACCACAGCCATGGGGCGCAGGCAGGAGGAATGGAGATGAGTCCAGCTGGAGGCAGTGGGATGGCTGTGGGACCCAGAGGGGAGATCAATGGCAAAACAGCCTGCAAAATTCACAGAATGCCCAACTGGAGTAGAATCCTCTGGAAGAAAGCCTCTCAATTATTCTCTCTGTCTTCTCAGAGTTCTTTCCCGTAATTACTTCCCATTCTTATTTAGCTCTTTTAAAAGTACAAAAAATGCAAATTACCCCACAGGCAACTGGGGAAAGCTTTGAAATCCCATCCCCGAGTGAGAGGTTTGAGCTTTCTGGATCTCTTCTGGAGAGTAGCTTTGTCTTTTTTTTTCTCTGTTTTTCCTTGATCTGGATAATAAGGGCAAAGCTTATGTCTGAAGGAAAGCATGAGAATGATTTAGCTTGAAGAATAAAATGATGAAAGAAGTCATTCTTGTAGGTATCTTGGCTAATGTACAACTCTAAAACCTCTTTCAGCTCCTGAAATACCCACTATTGATCAGGCATATTCAAAAATCAGCAACAGTATCACTGTAGAATGGGCTACAGTGCCGGGTGCCACCAGTTACCTCCTCACAGCTGAAGACGGGGACACAGTCATTGAAACAATGGTGGCCAATTCCCCAGGCACTGTGACGGGACTAAAGGCTGCAACCTTGTATGAAATCACCATCAGATCCATCAGTGCTGCTGGGAGAAGCCAGGCATCACCTCCAAAGCAGGCAAAGACAGGTAGCTTGATGGATGCTCATCCTCCGCTGAGTGTTTGCTTGTGACTTGGATCAGTTATTCTGGTGCTGCAAATGCAGAATGTGATTTGGTGTCACATGAGTGCCTACAATTCAAGGCCCAGAAGTGAAAGCTACCAAATGATGCTGTTTGAGAATTCAGCTATCTGTGGAGGAGGTGGCATTTAAATGCCAGATGCTTTGCTTTGGAAAATAAAGCCCATTTCTGGGCATCTTTAAAAGCATCCCAGCTTTTAAATCTCTGAAATAGGGATTTCTGGTTTTAACATGCCAAATGAAGAACACGGAGAAGGGATTTTGCTGCACTCTGACCATATGGCATATATGTTAACAAAACAAATAAAAGCATTTGGAGTTTGTCATCAGCATTACTGAAATTGATTTGATAAATTTGTACCTAGGCATATTTCTGAAAAGTTATGTGCACGTTAAAATAGTGTAACCCCTCATTTTTCCATTGATTTATATTATGATTGTAGGAATGTTTGATCTAATTTCTGACCAACTTCAGTTAAAAGTAGTGTCTGATACTTAGCGTTTCTCTGTTTCCCATTCCTCTGCCAAGTTATTTATGGTTAGTATACACTTAAATAGCAATTATTTAATGAAACTTTGTTGTGAATGCTCTTATAAAGTAAATAATTATTGTATATTATGGATATCAATTTACTTGCTTCTAAATTTGAATTATCCTCTATTGGACTTTGGTAACACAAATGCATGTTTTTATTTTTTTAGTGTTGGCTGCACCAATTCTTGAAGTAAGCTCTCCAAGTTCAGACTCCATTCTTGTGCAGTGGGAAGCTGTATATATGGCAATTGGATTCTCTGTGTCCATTATGCGAGCCAATGGCTTGGGGAGTATATGGAAAGAGAATACTACAAACACCTCCTTGACATTCACCAGTTTAGAAGCCGGGACTCTCTACACCATAAAGGCCTATGCATGGAATGCCAACGGAATCCCTGGGGACGACTCCACCTGCAATCAAAGAACAAGTAAGAACTTCTCAGCTCAGCCTCGAACAATTTTACTTTTGATTAACGTGGGGGGCTGTGCGTTGCAGCCATCAAGAGCAGTGTTACATGACAAGTACAGAGCAGCTGGCAGCAGCTATTTAAATTTATTATGAAGTTATTTATAGTGCCTTGTCTATTCCTCCTCAGTAGTTTAAACGCTTCCTGCATGGATAAAGAAATGCTACTCAGAATGCACACAGCATGGCACCGCCCTCTAATATCCAACTCAATTTCAGCATTCACATTCAACATCACACAGAAGAAGGTGATTCTTGTTAGGTTTACCCATCACCCCTTGTCCCTTTCTGGGTTCAGGCCAATTAGTATAAGAATTGGGCCAAATAGGAATTCATTTGTTCTGCAGATACTGAGTGACTGTGTGCCAACCTTGAGCTGGCATTGTTCTAGAGATACGGCACAAGCAGAGCAAGGTTTCTGCAGGCACAGGATGCTGTAGGGATCCTGCAGTGGAATTAGTGTTTCAGATCTGTTTCCCAAAGGCCTCAGCTTGGGCCTGAAGTCAGCATGGGGCTTCCCACTACTGCTCCTCCAGCTGTGGGAAGAAGCTGGAGCTTGCTGTGTGTTTTCTCACTGTCCCACCCAGAGGTCCCCCGAGCAGAGGATACCCTGCAGCATTACAACTGGAGGTCCAAATTGAGCTGCTGGAGTGAGCCGAGAGAGAGAGAGAGAGAGAGAGAGAGAGAGAGAGAGAGAGAGAGAAAGAGAGAAAGTGTTTTCTTTTCTTGAGGCAGAGTAAGCCATCCACTGGCAATGTAACCTAAATAGACACAAGACTCTCACCAACCAGATTAGCTGTTTCACCACTCGAGAAGGACGCAGGAAAGGAAGGAAAGAAACCAGAAATGTTCTCTCCAACTTTCCCTAAGTTTGGAGGGGAATGGAAGCCCCGTAGTCTATGGGCCAAGGCAGAATGTAGGGAGAAGAGAGGGGTTTGCCTCCTTTTATACTGTTTCCCTAGGAACGTTGTATAATCATAGCCCTGAGGTGATTCATGACAAGCTTGGTGAGTCAGGATGTCTGTGACAAGTCAGTCTCCTTGGGCCTTTTCCTAGGCTGGCTGGCTTTCTTTCTTCCCTCCTTCCCTTATCTTCCCTTCCCATCCTTCCCTTTCCTTTCCCTTTCACAGTGCTTTTTTCTTTCCACATTTGTTGAGGACCCACTGTGTGCTGAGCATAGGTTAGCTGATGGGAATACAAAAGCAAATAAAGCATGATCCCTCTATTCAAAGAATGGATTATGTCAAAGGAGAGACCAATGGTGAGTCAGCGTTTCCATTTTCACCTGACCAGTGCTTTGGCAGATGGCTGCAAAGACAGCGAGGCACAGGAGGGAGCATCTTCATCAGGCTGGGGCACTGAGACAGAATCCCCTAGAACAACTTGTTTCTTAAAGACTTCCCCTTCATAGGTTTACCCATGTTTTACAAAGCTTTACAGAGTTTAGATTTCGCCTCTGGATTAGTTTCCTCGGGCTGCTGGAACCACAAACTGGGTGGCTTGAACAATAGCAATGTTTGGTTTCATGGTTCTGAAGGCTACGAAGTCTGAAATCAAGGTGTCACATCTGGGGGATGTGAGGAAGAGTCTGTTCCAGGCCTCTCTCCTTGGCTTGTAGATGGTTATCTTCACATTCACATGGAATTTTCCCTATATGTGTTTATCTGTGTCCAAACTTCTTCTTTTTATAAGGAAATCAGCCATATTGGATGAGGGCCCACCCTAATGATTGCATCTTACCTGATTACATCTTCTATGACCCTATTTCCAAATAAAGTGACATTCTGAGGGTACTATGGGTAAGAACTTCAACATATGAACTGGGAGGGAACCCAAGTCAACCCATAACAGGCTCTCACTACTTTACCTATTTTTCCTAGTTCTCCCAAAGCAAGTTGCCCTAAAACACTGCAGGCTACCCCTACCAGCCTTGGGCCCAGCACTTCCCTAAAGCAGACCTGCCTCTGCAGACAAGCTGACCTTGTACTGGGAAGGGGCCTGTCGAGATGGCCCACGGGAAAAACATGGCAGGTGCCTGCCTTAGAGAGAATGAGTTAGGTCCTCATGTCCTCAAAGAGGCCTTCCCGGCTGGGCGTGGTGGCTCACACCTGTAATCCCAGCACTTTGGGAGGCTGAGGCAGGTGGATCACGACATCAGGAGATTGAGACCACCCTGGCTAACATGGTGAAACCCCGTCTCTACTCAAAATACAAAAAATTAGCTGGGCATGGTGGCGGGTGCCTGTAGTCCCAGCTACTCAGGAGGCTGAGGCAGGAGAATGGCGTGAACCCGGGAGGCAGAGGTTGCAGTGAGTGGAAATTGTGCCACTGCACTCCGGCCTGGACAACAGAGTGAGACTCCGTCTCAAAAAAAAAAAAAAAAAAAAAGGGCCTTCCTTGTTTGCCCAGAGGATGCTGGTGTCTGCTCACAGACTGTTGAAGCAGTTTCCTAAGGCCTGCTGCTTGGGCGTTATTACAGCACAGATTCCAAAGAACTGAGGCCAATTTCTTCCCTCCCCAGGCCAGGACACCTCCTTATGCTTTTTAATGTGGTAAGTCTTAAGAAAGGGAGGCATATTTACAAGAATGTAGGGTTAAGTGTTTTGGAGACACTAAAAGACTGCCTTAATATGTATGCATCACACTTGATACCTTCCTTCCTTCCTTTTGATGATGAATGGAAAGAAAATCTGCTCCCCTAGAAATGATTATGACCGAAAAGCTATTGCAGTAAAAGTTGTAGCAGATGTCAAAAGTAAAGAAGGAATATGTTCAGTTTCATTGATCAATAACAGAAGATATTTGACCTCTCACTTAATAATAACATACCCACGTGGCCCTTTTAGTTCTTCCCATTAATAATTTCATTTAATTATTTTAACTACTTATTAAATAATGCATTAATCCATTCAAAATATGTCTTTTAGCACCTATAGGTGTTAGACATGGATCTTGTTAGATCTATTTATATATGAGAAAAAATTAAATTACAAAAAGGGTAAACAATATGGCCAATGCCACACAGTTTATTATGAGTTTGCATAGTAGCAGATGTATTACCAGTTCCCAGGCATCATCCTAAATCCCAATTTTATGCTTTGGACACTTGTAATTATCCAACTACTGGGTATCTTATCCTCCAGTCTCTGCAACACTGTTATGCCAACTCTTACTTAGTTTGTAAGGCTACTACAAAATCTTAATTGTTTCTCAAAAATGTAGGTCCTCGGGCCCCTGCCAACATTCAAGTCTCTTTCGATAGTGGAGCTCTGAAGGCATCTTTTTCATGGGCACTGGCAGAAGGAGCTTTCAATTATACTGTGATGGCTTTGAGTGACTCTTCAGAGCTGACCTGCAGCACAGCTTTCAGTTCCTGCACCATCTCTTCCCTCCAGTGTGGAACTGAATACCTGATTTCAGTTTCAGCAAGTAATGATGCTGGATCTAGCAAATCATCTTCAACAGTGACCCTGAAAACTGGTATGTAAACAAGAGTGAGATTGCTGTAGGACTTGCAGCAGTGACTGCTATAAGGGAGACATTCACTGACAATGTTTCTGAATACTCTGGGAAAATATGAAAATGAAAGCCTGGTCTAAATGAAAGCATTGAGTTGAACATTCTCATGAGTTTGAATAATACTGATAGTGAAGTGAGATATTGTGTACTGCAAAAAGCACTTTTTGGAAAATTAGGAGGCCTGGTTTCTATTCCAGATCTTTCATTAATTGGTTTTTTCTTTTTCCTTTGTAAAGCTGTGAAAATTCTAAGATCTGGTTTGAGTTGTACACAGCTCTAACTGTGCGTACAGATAACTGCGTCTTCTTTACATCATGTCTCACATCCTAGGCTTGGTGGGAGCCGCCATTTTTTTAAGATAAAGACAGGATATTTCTAGTTCTGAATATATGTTTAGATATTTTTCCATTTTCATTCTTATCAGAGCGATAACCACATACACACGTGGAGGTTGACTCCTCTATTTAGAAATATCTATGTGTCTCGGGGATGGAAACTAACAATTAATGAAACTAACACTTAATGAAGACCTACTATGTTTCTGGCGCTATAAGTATGTTATTTCATTTAAATCTCATGACAACTCAGTGAGGGGGGTTCTATTATCTCTTTTTTTTAGATAAGAAAATTGAAGCTCAGAGAAGTTAAATAATTTTCCCAAGGCACACTGATAATAAGCAGTACAGCTGAGATTCAAGCTGCTCAAGTTTGCCTAATTCCAATGCTTAAAGCCAAAGAAAATGTTGACAACTACAATAATGTCTACTTTATCTCACAGTCAGTTATGTCATTCTAAGTTTAAAAAGCTTCTGAATAGGAAGAAAAGCAGCTATCCCCAAGTTGATGCACTCCATTCCACAGGAAAAAAAAATAAAGCTATTCTTTCAGGCCCGCGCTCTCTTATAGTTATGTTAAATTAAGGTCAATGATAACAAACTTGATGATTTGGCTTCTCTTTTGACAACTGTAATTTAATGTGAATGGTACATTAGAAGTGATTATGAGGACAAGATAGTTGAGAGTGGGAGAAGAGAGAAAAAACACTTTCAAAAGCATAGCAGTTCTGAGTTAGGCAGTTAGGCATTTAATGCAGGGGAGAACCATGCAGTGTTTTTTAATCTTGGACGCACATTAAGAGCATCTGGGGAGCTTTTATAAAACCCCAATACCCACGTCCCACTTAAGACCAATTGGAATTGCTGGGAATAGAATTTGGATATGAATAGTTTGTAAAAGCTCCCCAGTTGATTCTACTATGCAGTCAGGGTTAAGTGCCATTGAAAAAGTCCTTCACACTTACAGGTCCAGGAGGTTCTAAGGCAGTTTGTGTATGACACAGTCATGATCATGGGGATGACCTTGACCAATAATAAAGTAACATTATTATTTAATATATTTAATATATTAATATTACATATAATATATATTATATTAAAAATATATAATAAAAGAACTATGTTTACAAAGTACTATGTGTTTCCTGGGGCCCAGAAGTGTGTAATATATTTTGGGAAGATTTCCACTAGTGAAAACTAAAATTTTTAAAGCTTAGCACTTGAATGAACAAACTTTATTTGAATTCATTCTTTCAGAAGATTTTGTTCCATCAATAAATGAGGCATTATGTGGATAAATGAGGTATTGCCTTAACACAAAGAAACAGTCAATATTAACAAATCAATACATGCCTGCTTTTGACATAGTCTAACATTTATTGTGTGAGATAAATTTTAGGACGTCTGAGAATGTCTCCTGGGTTTGTACTGAGTTATACATACTATTTGATTTGTTCCTTATTTGTAGCATCTAGTATCTTAACTCTATGTTTAAGATGCTCCCTGGAGGGTGTAATGGGCATGAGAATGTATTCTGTTATTCAGTGCATGAGAGGCTGCAGTTAGAAGAACTTTCCAGGTTGCACCTGGTGGTTCATGCCTGTAATCCCAACACTTTCGGAGGCCGAGGCAGGTGGATTGCTTGAGTCCAAGAGTTCGAGACCAGCCTAGGCAACATGGCTAGACCCTGTCTCTACAAAAAAAATACAAAAGTTAGCTGATCATGCACCTGTAGTTCCAGCCACTCACGAGGCTGAAGTGGGAGGATCACCTTAGCCTGGGAGGCAGAGGTTGCAGTGAGCTGAGATCGCACCACTGCACTCCAGCCTGGGTGACAGAGCGAGACCTTGTCTCCAAAAAAATTAATTAATTAATTAAAAAATAAATTTAGGCTGGGCGCATTGGCTCATGCCTGTAATCCCAGCACTTTGGGAGGCTGAGGGAGGAGGATCACTTGAGGTCAGGAGTTCAAGACAAGCCTGGACAACATGGTGAAACCCCATCTCTACTAAAAGTACAAAAAGTAGTTGGGCATGGTGGTGCACACCTGTAGTCCCAGCTACTCAGGAGGCTGAGGCAGGAGAATCACTTCAGCCCAGGAGGTGGAGGTTGCAGTGAGCCGAGATCACATCACTGCACTCCAGCCTGGGCAGCCGAGTGAGATTCTGTCTCAAAAAATAAATACATGAAATAAAATAAAAAATAAATTTAAAAAAATATATTTTTTAAAAAAGAACTTTCCATGCTATGGAGGCTTTACACATAAACCCCCAGAAAGACCCAGCTCCATTCCTTCCCACTTATGGATCTTGGACAACTTACCAACCTCTATAAGTCTCAGTTTCCTCAACTGTAAAATGATGATATTTGCTGGAAGAATTAGAGAATATATTAATATAAAACATAATGAATGATATCTGTATTTTAATCTCTAAAACAGATAACTTCTGGAATATTCATTATTCCACTGAAGCCAGACTAGCTTCATCTCTGGATGAAGTCAAATATTTCAACAAATAATCTAATAATGAAAATTTTTATGTCTTAAGATGACTATGAATCTCTGATGGCTCATTATTTCAAACAGTATTTTGTATAACAAGAGAATGTGACAGGTCATTAAAATTTGTTGTAGTGGTTTGGGGCCTATAACATAGCCTTTGGTCCTATAAAGAAAATCTTCTAATGCTTCCAGTGCACAGTTTTGCATTTTGTGCACCAAATTCAATCAGTCACAAAGCTCAGAGTTGCTTATTTGGGTTGTACTGAAATCTTAGATAATTGCAAACATGCGAAGAAAATCTCCTGCAGTAGTCTCATGTTTGCTTATTATTGATCATTTCCTAGTTGCTTGTGCACCTGGAAGAGTGACGATCCAAGAAGATCCCCCCGGCCACCTGTCTGTGGCTTGGTCCAATGTAGATCTGGGTGACTACTATGTGGTCTTTGTGAAGAGTGATGACGGCTTGGAAGTACACTGCAACACATCTCTCACTGAGTGCAATTTCTTATCTGAGTGTGGCTTCACCTATTTTATTAGTGTTTTTGCCTATAATAAGGCAGGGCAAAGTCCTTTGGGTGACATATTCAATTATACCACAGGTAAGTCCCATTTGATACTTGTCAAGGGAGTTCTGAGATCGCTAACCTCAGCAGCAGAATGGATCACCTATTCCACTTATTAACTTGCCACCTGGGAGTCATTCTAGGGTTAAGAACAGAAAGTAATCTCTTATCTCACATTCTTTCCAGACTAGGGAATCTTGGTTTTGTGGACCCAAGCGTAACTAGAATGCAAAGTTTGGGAGTGAAAAGAGGAGGAAGAATGTAGTTGTTCAACCTTGCTCTGAAAGATTGAACTCTCCACAAAGATGTACTCCGTGAGTGTTCTAGCATGTGCTGCCGCCAAAGAGGAGGCAGTGCCTGCATTTCAGGAGGTCACTCTTTCCCTAAGACCAAGAGAGACATACAATGGCCAAGATGCTACATGGTGTGGAGGACTTTGGAGTAGGACACCTGGGTTTACACCCTAACTTGACCACTAATTCATTCCTTCACTGAGGGTAATGATGTCCACCTTGCTAGTTCCTTAGTATTCTTCACTGCAAAATGGGACAAATCATGAGACTATGAATGTGAAAAGGTCTTGTGTGTGATAAAGCATGATGCAAATATTTTTATTAGCATCACAATTGCTGTTGCTATTATCCTCCACTAGACTTGTATCTTGTACAAGGCAGGAATTACGTCTTATTTATGTCTTCATCCTCAGTGCTTATAATAGTATGATCAGCATATGGGAGATGCTCAAGTTTTGAAGAATGAGTGGAGTGATTTGAAATTAAATAACTACATTACAAATAAGAATACTCCAACATAATTATGTAAAAGTCTAGCTGAATTACAGTAAATTTTGCCAGGATGAGGGATCTAAATCATTGGTGCCTTTGGAATGTGGAATAAGAGGCCATCAGTAAGTTCCTAACACAGGAGGGTCCTCCAGAGTGGCCTTGAGCTGGATCTTGAAGGATGAATGGAAATGTAAGTGGGGCAAGAGCATCCCAGGGAAACTCCAAGCTGAGTCAGACATTTGCCAGTGGGGTTCTTTAGGGTCTCTCAAGACCTATCTATACACGGCCGGGCACAGTGGTTCATCACTTTGGGAAGCCGAGGCAGGCAGATCACTTGAGGTTAGGAGCTGAGACCAGCCTGGGCAACATGGAGAAACTCTGTCTCCGCTAAAAACACAAAAATTAGCTGGACATGGTGGCATGTGCCTGTAATTCCAGCTATTCCGGAGGCTAAGGCATGTAAATCACTTGGACCCAGGAAGCAGAGGTTGCTGCGAGCTGAGATCACATCACTGCCCTCCAGCCTGGGTGACACAGCAAGACCCTATCTCTTAAAAAAAAAAAAAAATCTACTTATATAACTATGACCCCCACCCCCCAGTTTTATTTGGCTTAGTGTCTGGAAAGGCTGACAGGATTTGAGAAGTCAGACTACATATGATTTTACCAGGCAGAAGAGGGGACCGGCTTTCCAGTAGAGGGGTCAGCAATTTTCTCTGCATAGAGAATGAGGGTGCACGTGGCATGGGGGAATTGAGGAGTCTGGTGTGGCGGGGAGTTGGGGGAGCACAGCTGAACCTTACAGCTTGTGATGACCTTGAATGTCATGCTGAGAATTTACCCTCTATGCAGTGACAATTAGGCCAAGATTGGACCTGGACAGACCCACAGGGGGTCACTGTAGTCATTAGGGAGGGCAGTGGCCGAGCCTCTGGGCATGGGAGGTCAGGACTCAGTGTCCGCCCTGGTTGCATTGCTCTTGGTGGGACCACCATTTTCCCTCTGCTCCTGCTTTCAGCTCCCTGTTGCCCTAGTGACATTAACCCCGTGTTGGTGTCCAGTGACAGAGTTGAGATTGTGTGGTCTCCCGTCCGTGGTGCCGAACTGTATGAAACCAAGGCTGCAGATGGGTACAACACGGTTGAATGCAATGACACTGTTCCCGCGTGCACCCTTTCAGCTCTAGAGTGTGACACTAAGTACAACATCACGGTGTATTCATTCAGTGAAGTCCGAGGCAGCAATATGTCATGTACTCCCCAGTTCATAACCACAGGTAAGGCACAGCTATCATTCCACTCACTGCTGTCTGAATGATTCACCCCAGCTGTGAGCCTCAGGATGGGCATTCAGTAAGACCAATAAAAAGGTTAAATCCCATTAATCAATCTTTGTGGGGACCAAGACAGCCGCTATTGTACGAAGGAGAGTCAGAGAAGGCAGAAGAGGAAAGTGGAAAAAATGAAAACAAAAGGGGAGACCGTGGGGAGAGTAGAAGGTTTTGCCCATGATTACTTCAGCCATTCAGTTCCTCCTGTCTTTGAGGGTCCTGCCTGTACTCACACCATGAAGGTGTGTAAATATGTTTCTTACTTACGTTTGCTTTTGGAGTTCACAATGCTCTTAAACATTTTCCAGCTATTCCAGTACTATATGAACCCAATGCCCAGTGTTAATGTCAATAGTTGTAATGTAATTTGGCCTGCATGCATGACGTGGTTGAAAACTATGATGATCTCATTGGGGGCAAAATCAATTTTAGACCAAATGGCACATGTGATATTTTCGACTCATGCTTTTTCAATTAATACTCTAAAATCTCTCAGCTCCTTGCAGTCCTGAAATAAAAAATGTTTCAAGGGATGCATTCTCCACGATTAATGTGCACTGGCGATCCACTAATGATGACGCTACTTACACTGTGACTGCCCAGGGGGAGAAAGGACTATATCAGTGCAGCAGCATGGGAGAGTCCTGTACCATGCGGGGCTTGCCCTGTAGCTCAGTGTTCTCTGTCACTGCTGTGGCTGAAACACAGGCAGGACGGAGCCTGCCCAGCTACAGTGTTCCCCTGGAAACAGGTATGTAGCAACCACCAAGCCTGAATGTTGACATCACTGGGGTCCTCAGGAAGTGTTTCAAGACATGAACTTCCTTATTTAATCTACCCTCAGTGCCATAGAAATACATTAAACTCAGAGCCGTTTCAAAGAGTCCTGGTCATAGAAAATAAAATTTTCAATATTTTACAAGTTCTGTAAAAATATCCTCAAGACTAGTATATCCATTCACTGGCATCAGAGAAGGAATACTTACTCATTCTGTGAAACATTTATTTGAATTCATATTCCCCTATGATATAATCTATCAAAACAGCTAACAAATGAGTGGCCAAATGAGCTGGGTTGTTACTTATTTCTTTGGCTCAGCCCTTTCAAATTTTTCTCTTTAAAAAATGCTTTCTGACTTTCAGTTTCCTGATAGGTAAAGGGGAGATAATGGCCTCACAGGGTGGTTATGAGTATTAAGTTGACTAATGCTGCAAAGATCTTAGCATGGTGCCTGATGCATAGCAAGAACGCCATAAAAGAAAACTATTATTACAGCATAGCATTGTGTATGAATGAAATGTGACAAATCACTTCAGCCTTTGGACATTCGTTTTTCTTATATATAGCGATAGACGGCACTTTGGCTTATAAAAGTCGAAATACCTAAAAAAAGAAACCAGCAGTAAGATAGAGACCATACAAAATACTGCATGCATGAAGCTCTTAGGCATCCTATATTCTGCGTAATGGGTCCCTGAAAAATCAGGATGGCTGGGGTATTTTAGGCAGCTAAGAAATCAAGCTTTTATATCAGTGATGTACTGTAACATTTTCAAGAAAGGCAAATTATACTTAATTGCTAATGCTATGAAATGTTCTATTGGGTCTATTGGGAGAAGTGAATGCAACCGTTACTTTGAAATTTGCAGTTAGAATTGTTGAAGATGGGCCAAGAGTGGTGGCTCACGCCTGTAATCCCAGCACTTTGGGAGGCTGAAGCAGGTGGATCATGAAGTCAAGAGATCAAGACCATCCTGGCCAACATGGTGAAACCCCGTCTATACTAAAAATACAAAAAAGCCGGGCATGGTGGCACGCGCCTGTAGTCCCAGCTACTCGGGAGACTGAGGCGGGAGAATAGCTTGAACCTGGGAGGTGGAGGTTGCAGTGTGCTGAGATCGTGTCACTGCACTCCAGCCTGGCGACAGAGCGAGACTCCATCTCCATCTCAAAAAAAAAAAAAAAAAATTATTGAAGATGGGGGCAACAAAGGATTTCCTTCTTATTCTGAAAAAAAAAAAAAAAAAAATGGTGGAAACCTTCAACAGCCAGTTGGTGCAGTGCATTCTTGGGGAAAGCACCCACTACATACAGTGAATGTTACATGACGCATCAGAGGAAATGAACACAAGGAAATTTTTTATTAACAATGGAAAGTTGGGGAATGTAGGCTATTGAGTGAAACACAGGCAAAATACCATTCTTTGTCATTTTTCACAAATAATCTTCAGTGGAAATAAATCTCCAATTCTTTTTCTTTTATCCCATTTAAGTGCCGTGCTGTCCAACTGGTCTGACAGTAACTCAAATCACCCAGTCAGTAATCAACGTGAGCTGGACTATTGGGAGAGTGGCTCAAACCCATGTGGCAGTTCTGGAGTCACACACTGGACAGTCTAAGTGTCACACTCATCAAAACTACTGCCTCCTGGGATGCATCACATGTGGCGTCAATTACACAGTGACATTAAAAGCAATTAGCGCCACGGGGTTGACTGCGGATTGCTCCTACCAAAGTTATTTCTCTGGTAAGTGAACTCCAGCTCTAGAGTAGCAATAAGGACTTGACTATTGTAAATCCAGGCATAAGCCTTTCCTCCTCATTCAAAAAGATGCTGCATCTCCACCTAGTTTGCATTATAAACTCAGATTACTTTCTAAAATGGTTATAGTTTTCCCTTTGGTTAGAACCTCAAAGCTTCAGAGGCTTCTGTTGGTAGTTGGTGAATTAACTCCCCTAGTAACAATGTTCATGCCTGCTTTTTCTTTTTTTTCTTTTTTTTCTTTTTTTTTTTTTGAGACGGAGTCTCGCTCTGTGGCCCAGGCTGGAGTGCAGTGGCCCGATCTCAGCTCACTGCAAGCTCCGCCTCCCGGGTTCACGCCATTCTCCTGCCTCAGCCTCCCGAGTAGCTGGGACTACAGGCGCCCGCCATCTCGCCCGGCTAGTTTTTTGTATTTTTTTTTTTTAGTAGAGACGGGGTTTCACCGTGTTAGCCAGGATGGTCTCGATCTCCTGACCTCGTGATCCGCCCGTCTCGGCCTCCCAAAGTGCTGGGATTACAGGCTTGAGCCACCGCGCCCGGCCCATGCCTGCTTTTTCTGAAGGGACCGTGTATCTTTATATGACACAGCTACCTGCAACACAGAGTAACTCAGCCTGGCAGAGTTTTCTGGAAGCATTAGATCACACATTCTGTTTGGTTTGCGTTTTTTTCTTCTCATTATTATTGTGCTACTACCTCTCTTTTCTAAGCTTCTTCAGCTCCTTCAATGGTTTCTTATTTCAACAGGCTAAGAGAGCAAAGGCATCTGTCTACTGACAGTATTGTCGCTTGTTCTTCACAAAGACCAGACCATTAGGGAGTAGCGGCGGAAACTAAAAGCAGTGCAAGGTTACCAAACAAGATTTCTCTTGCATGATTCTAATCCAAGGAAGTGGCTGCTTGTAGCATGGTTTTGAAAAAACTCTTAAGGATGCTTCCTACGCTTAAGGTGAAAGAGTACAATGATCCGTTACCTCGGCCTGGGGCATGGGATGGAAGAGTTGGAATATAATTTTGGCATCCCTAGAGGTAGTAGAAAGAGTCTCAACTGGGAATCAAAATTAGACATGACTTCTTATAAGCTGTGTTGCCTAATCTTCCCTGATTCTGTCTCCTCATTGAAAAAGACAGGAATAGTAATATTTTCCTTCGAAGTTGTTTTGAGAATCAAAATAAATCATAACATGAGAACATTCAGAACATGCTGCATGTATGTCAGCTGGTGTGTACTTTCTTCTGACCCATTATCTTGTATTAGATTTACTGCCTAAGTTCTCACCTTGATATCCAGTTCTCATTGCTTATTCTTTTAAGAAAAAATCAAGTCAGCCTGATTATAATAATTATAAAAATTATACAGTAGGATCTTTAACTTAGTTACTAAGGAATCCATTTGGTGCCCTTATTGGCACCTAATGTGTGGCTCGCTCAAGGTATTTAGAAAAGAAAAAAAATACTAATCAGCTACCATGGATGAAGCGTGGACCAGCAAACTTGGTCACTGGCATGTTGTATAAATGGCTGCACCCAAAGTGTCATGCTACTCAGCTCAGCAAAATTGGTTCTTCAATTAAAGCTGAATGCAATTAATTATATTTAAGTGTAATGCCACCAAAAATCAAGTGAAACTAGGGCATTATGAGGGATCTTGACAAGGATTCTGTGCCTTTGACTCACAGTTTGAGTAATGTACAATATGTATCTGCCAATTTTTGGACCTTTCTGACTCACCATCGTTCTATATTAAAAATTCATACCTCACACCACCTTCACACATGAATTTCTCTCTCCTTTCTTTCTTTCTCTTTCTTTCTTTCTTTCTTTCTTTCTTTCTTTCTTTCTTTCTTTCTTTCTTTCTTTCTTTCTTTCTTCTTTCCTTCCTTCCCTCCCCTTCCTTTCTTCCTTTCTTTCTTTTTTTCTTTTCTTTCGTTCTTTCTTTCTTTTTTCTTTCTTTTCCTTCCTTTTCTTCTTTCTTTCTTTCTTTCTCTCTCTCTTTCTTTCTTTTTTCTTTCTTTCTGGATCTCGCTCTGTCACCTAGGCTGGAGTGAGTGCTGTGGCACCCTCATAGCTCACTGCAGCCTTGAACTCCTGGCCTCAAGCCATCCTCCTACCTCATCCTCCCAAGGGGACCACAGGTGTGCACCACCACAACTGGCTAATTTTTTTTCTTTTTTTTTTTGGAGAGTCAGGGTCTCCCTGTGTTGCCAAGGCTGGTCTCAAACTCCTGGGCTCAAGCGATCCTCCTGCCTTGGCCTCCCAAAGTGCTCAGATTATAGGCATGAGCCATCATGCCTGGCCACCCATGGATTTCTGATTATGTGGCCCACCATGGAAATAACTTGAGTACCCCTTCAAATCTTGCTCTGATCTAACCAGTAATTAATCCTGTTACTTAGAATAGTTTACTTATATTTTTTCCCTGCAGTAATCAAGGCCATTTTTGGATGATGGTGGAATAAAACCAGTGATTTTGTGTTTCTTTTTATTGCTTAGGTGCCTGCTGCCCTTTGGGGGTGAAATTATATAGACTGGGCCCTAACGGCATCCGGATCTACTGGCAAGCCTCCAGGGGCTCTGCCAGTTACAGCACTGACCTCTACGGCTCCAAAGGCATTTTCACGTGCACCCCGAGTGCTGGCCTCAGTTTCTGTGATGTCACTGAGATACCCTGTGGGGATGTATACACTGTGATGGTCTCACCAGTTGCTGAAACAGGATTGAAGCTTACTTTCTGTCCAAAAAAAATATATTCAGGTAAAGCAAGTTATGACAGTTTATCTAAAACTAACCCTGAACTCAGATCTGTGAATTAAGATGCAGTCAAACTTATTTGCTATGTAGGAAGGGCACAGAGGGTATAAAATTTCTTTCTTTCTTTTTTTGTTTTTTTGTTTTGAGACAGAGTCTTGCTCTGTCACCCAGGCTGGAGTGCAATGGCATGATCTTGGCTCACTGCAACGTCCACCTCCCAGGTTCAAGCGATTCTTCTGCCTCAGCCTCCTGAGTAGCTGTGATTACAGGCACCTACCATCATGCCCGAGTAATTTTTGTATTTTTGTAGAGATGGGGTTTCACCATGTTGCCCAGGCTGATTTCAAACTCCTGACCTCAGGTGATCCACCCGCCTCGGCCTCCCAAAGTCCTGGGATTACAGGCATGAGCCACTACACCCAGCTGAAGGTATAAAATTTCTATACAGCACAGGCAGATTCTGGCTGTGGAAGACCCCAGAATTCTCTGGAATTGCGATGCTTTATTATTATTTAATTTAGAGATTATTTTCCCTGTCCCATGCTTCCCCTTCCTAAAAAGGACTAGGTGCTTGCTGCTTAACTAGTAAAGCAAATTTAAGATAATTTTCTGCTTTGAGATTTAGGGATAGATTTTTAACATAGTCTTATTGATAATGTTGGAAATTAGGAAACTTGAACTTTTATTTGCACAAACTGAGAATTGTGACTGAGGAAAAGTTAGAGGATCAGAAAAAATGAATTTATAAATCACAAGCCAGACTTGGCAATATGAGTGGGCAGACAGTCTGTGATCACAAAACATGACTGTCAGCAACTACCACCTCACTAGAGCTGGCAGGAAAACATTAGTAATTCTCCGCTCTGTGTTCCAGCACCTTCTGCTACCTTGCCCAGGGCACAGTCATACATTTTTCATATATTCCTAGAAGAAAAGAGATGATGCAGCCCTAGAATTTTGCAGATGAACACAGAAAAAAGAATATTGGCTCACGAACCCTTACTGATAGCCAGAATCTAAAATTTCCAATGATATGTAGGTGACAAGAGGTTCAGGATGGCCCTTGGTGATGGAAGGAGGACAGTTCCTCCCAAGGGGCTGTTCTCATTGTCCCTGGCTGTCATGCTCTGATTCCTTGTTTTTCCATTATTTGGTCCACAGGACAAACTGGCCCAAAGCATAGTCCTATGGGAAGGGATAGGAATAGGTTCCTGGAGTAAGGATGAGCTTTTAGGAAGATGAGTCTACAGCTCAATAACAATACTGCATTATAACTGCATAATATTTTATAATGTGCCAAGCAGTTTCATACTACAAATACCATTGAATGCTCAAAATATGCTATGCTGTAGTCTCAACATATTTCATTATCTCCACTTTATAAATAAGAAAACTGAAGCTCAGAGGCTCCCAAATCTCTATCTACAACTCTTCTCTTCTCCTGACGCCCAAATCCATATTCAGATTTGATACCTCCACCTGCAGGTGCCCAGGCATTTCAAACCCCTCAGGGCCGAAAGGAATTCCTGATCCTCTGCTGTTTCTGATCTTCCTTCCACTGTCCTTGTTTCAGGCACGTTAGCTAAAAACCCTGGAGTCAGCTTCCGTCTCCTGCACCCTCCATATCTAAGTAGTCTCGAATTCTTGTCCTGGTCACCTTCACCTTCATAATGGTTCCTAAATCCAGATTCTTCTCTTCATTCCACAGCTACTGCTATGCCTCAGGCCCTCACTACCTCTCCCCTAGACTTCTGCACCAGTCCCGTCTCCCTGTCCTCACTCCAGCCTCTGTGCTGTTACCAGAGTTGTCATTCCAGGACACCGGTCCAATTGTGTTACTTTTATGCTTCCATATCTTCAAAACTTTTCCATTTCCCCATAAGATAACATTCAATCCTCTGGGCATGGTGCTCACAGTCCCTTATAACCTGTCCCCTGTCTGCTTATACCTGTACTGTTCAATACAAATTTAATATGAGCCATGTATGAAAAATTTAATTTTCTAGTAGTCATATTAAAAAAGTAAAAAGAGGCAAATTAATTTCATAATATATTTTAGTTAACCCAATATATCCAAAATATTATCATTTCAACATCTCATCAGTATAAAAATTATTAATAGATATTTTGTATATTTTTCATACTGTCTTTGAAATCTGGTGTGTCTTTTGTATTTATAGTACATTTAGTTCAAACTAGCCACATGTTCAATAGCTACTTGAGTGTCTACTCTACTGGACAGATAAATTGGTTTTTCGTGGGTTTTGTTTGTTTGTTTGTTTTTTATTGAGACAGGGTCTTGCTTTTTCATCCAGGCTAGAGTTCAGTGGTACAATCACAGCTCACTGCAGCCTTGACCTCCTGGGCTTAAGCGATCCTCCTGCCTCAGCCTCCCAAGTAGCTGGAACTATAGACGTGCCCTATCACGCTTGACTAATTTTTAAAATTTTTTTGTAGAGACAAGGTCTCACTATGTTGCCCAGGCTGGTCTCGAACTCCTGGGCTTAAGCAATCCTCTCGCCACAGCCTCCCAAAGAGCTGGGATTACAAGCATAAGCCACTGTGCCCGGCCTGAACAGAGAAATTCTAGGCTCATTCCACAACATCCATCCTGAGAGGACTCTATTCTCTAGTCTAGGCATCTGGCATCATTCACGCATGCCTGCTTCTGCCACACACACCTCCTATTCTATGTCATGTTCTGGAGCTACTGCTGTGCTCTTCTCTTTGCCCGGAATTCCACCCCACCTCCAAGAAGAGAATTCTACCAGCCTGAATTTTCCTTATCTGTGAAGCCTTCTCCAATTATCATAAGCTGAGTTAGCCCTCTCTCTCCCTCCTTTATCACCCCACAACACCCTTATCTGTACTGCAACATATTACTGTGAATTGAATGTGTGTTATTTCTCCTAATAAGTGATTATCTATTTGACTCCCAGTACGTAGCACATAACTGTTGCCTGATATATTTTAAATTTAAAAAAGAATGAATCAACGAATTCATGCGCCTGTGATCATACAGCTAAGTGAGTGATGGAAGTCTTTTGTTCTTTCTCCTGCTCCATGCCCACAATTTCACCCTTAGAGAGTCATTCCTCTGAAGGCTGGTTAGCCACGAGAAGTCCTTGTGAGTTAGACCTCAAGCTCTTTGATGGGATGCCATCTGAAGCCTGCAGCCATTTCAGCTTAGTAATATTAGGTATCTAGACTCAAGTTAGGAAATCCTTTGCTCGGTGTCCCTGGTAAAAGCCATACATTTGGGAGATGTTTTTTGGTTTTGTTTGTTTGCAATATCAGTGATGCTTTATTCTGATAATCAGGACAATATTGTAAATGACAATAACAACTAATATTTATTGAGTGCCATGTGCCAGGCACTGTTCTAAGGAGTTTACATGTATTAACTCAGTCTTTATAACAAACCTATCAGCTTGGCATTCTTTTTTTTTTTTTTTTTTTTTTTTTTGAGATGGAGCCTTGCTCTGTCACCCAGGCTGGAGTGCAATGGCACGATCTTGGCTCACTGCAACCTCTGCCTTCCGGGTTCAAGCGATTCTCCTGCCTCAGTCTCTTGAGTAGCTGGGATTACAGGTGTGCACAACCACGCCCGGCTAATTTTTGTATTTTTTGGTAGAGATGAGGTTTCACCATGTTGGCCAGGCTGGTCTCAAACTCCTGACCTCAGGTGATCTGCCTGCCTGGGCCTCCCAAAGTGCTGGGATTACAGGTGTGAGCCACTATACCCAGCTGAGCTTGGTATTCTTATTCTTACTGCTTTTCAGATAAATTGAGGCACAGTGAAGTGACTTGCCCAGATCACACTGCTAGTAGTATCTCCTTCTCTTATCATCCAAGTTCGTTCTTGTTCATTTTTTGGTTTACTTTCCTTTTATTATTTCTTAAGTTAAATCTTCACTATCTTAAATACATAAATGAAAGATTTTATTTTAAATGCTTGTGTTTTTATTACAGTAACTTGCTCTGGAAGTACACTTGGAATGGGTAAGTCATTTTTCTCATGGATAAAATAGAACAGGATTTTTGTTGCCCCATTTTGGGGTTACTTAATGAAGTCAGCTGACTTTTCAATTAGAAAGCAAATGCTTTCTTTCTTTGATACAAGGGGCTCCTGCTCTCTTATCCCACAAATTTGTCTCCCCATGATAGTGCATCTTCTCAGATTCCACCAGTTGAGATGAACTTCTTTGAATTCTGAAATATTTTCAGTATTCTAGGGTCCTACAGGAAAATGTAAATAGTTTTGGGAGGGGCAGCCGCTTTATCCATCACACTTCAGAAAGTGATTCCCAGCTCAGCTGTACATTGGAGTCACCTGGAGAGCTTAAAATTAACTGACGTCTGGGTTCTGTCCCCAGAAAGTTTGATTTAATGGGTCTGGGGTAAGAGCTGGGCATCAGGAGTTGTAAAAGTTCCTCAGGTGATTCTGAAGTATAGCCAAGGCTAAGAACTGCTACTTTAGAGACATGCTTCTCAAACTTTATTGTGCACACACATCATCTGGGACCTTGTTAAAGCCAGATTCTGATTTGGTTGGTGTAGGAAGGGTCTGAGATTCTGTATTTCCATAAGGTCCAGGTGATGCTGGTGATGCCGAGGCTGCTGGTCTGACCACACGTGTAGTAGCCAGGTGTTAGAATCTGTTAATGGCCTGCAGAGAGCTACGATGTTTGCTCCTGGTTTGCATGAGTGGGTATACCCCGTGGAGACAGAGGGTGCTGAAAGGGCAGTTGGAGTAAAGAGAACCCTTACTGCCTCCTCGGTTTTGCTCAGGGATGATCTTGTCTAAGCTATTTTGGTTGCCCCTGCAGAGATAACTCTTGGCACGGCAGTGGAGATGAGCAAATGAAGCCATGAGTGCTGACCCAGTAACGAGTATGCTGCCTCATGAGGAGTCCTTGCCGCAGCCTTTCAGGGGACAGCTTGGTCTGGGGCCTTAGGAAAAAAATCCCCTGGGAATATTATTAATCCCAAACTACAGAACTTCCCTCCCGCCCATCCCTGCCCCTCCCCTCCCCATTCAGACATGGCTGACTTTGAATGGTATGAGTCTAAATGAAGTCTTCCTGCTTGTAAACCCCACTGGACAACCTTCCAGTCGGGGCCGGTTCCCCAGCCACA